CCGCGGGGGCGGGCGCGGGCGCCTGCTGGTTGAGGTCCGCTAGGATCCGCGCCACCACGAAAAGCGAGGCGCTGTCCTTGCCGTCGCGGCGCTCGTCAACACGGGGCAGTGTGGGGGCGGCGGCGGCCGCGCCCTCGGGCCGGGGCTCAGTCCCTTCCCGCGGCTCGTGCACGACTGCGCGGCTGGACATAGACACGAGGCACTCGGCGGCAAAGTGATCCACATAGGCGGCGGCTGCCATGCTGCGGGCTCGGGCGCGCGGTGCTCTCGCAGGAGTCGTCAGCGGCGCATCCGCACCCACGGCCTCCGGAGAGCGGCGGGGGGCGGGGGCGCGGCGCGCCCTCTTCTCCGGCTGGGCTGGGCTAGGCTGGGCGCGCAGCCGCTTCTGCCGTCACCCGCGCGGCTCCGCGTCCGCCTGGCCGGGTACTGGAGGGTGAGCGCATGGGGGGCTCCAACGAGGAGGGTCCGCGTGCGGCGTCAAGGCCCGCTTGTCTTACGGATGTCGAGCGGCGATGTTAGGCACGACCCCTGCAAGTTGCGGTCGCAGTTCCACCGTGCATTGTGGCAGGCGGGACAGCCTCCGTGCGCGCCGCGGCTCGGTGTGGGCGGACCGGCCCCGGGGGTGGGCGGGGCCGGGGCCACATCTGGACCCGACGTCAGCCCCCAGCCACATCCTGGCGGCGCAGGTTACAGGCGGCAGTGGCCGCAGGGAGCAGCGCGCACGAAGGGGGCGGGGAGCCTGGAGCGCGCACCAGAGGGACGGTGCGGTCGCGCGCCCGCGCCGGGGAGGGGCGTGGCTAGTGGCATTCGCGAACGCCATTGGCTCTGGAGTGCTCTAGCTCGCCAATCCGGGCCTCCAGAGGGCTCTACTGGCCGCGGGACCTGCGCGCGCCAGTGGGCGTGTCCCTGGACCGGCAGGAGGCGGGGCGGAAATCGGAGCCCCGCGCGGGGCACGGTGACGCACGACGTTCGAGGGTGGCGGGCCGCGGTGTAGCGGCGCAGGGCTAGGGCGCGTGCCTCCCGCAGCGGGAACCCCGCCGGGCCTTTCCGTGCGGGAGCTTTTGTGCGCAGGCAGCCGTGGGTGGCGCGAGAGGATGGCAACGCTGGGGAGGGCACCCCGTGGTCGCTCCGCCCGCTGGGAGCGCGGGCGAGGTGGCGTATCCGTCTCAGCGGGACCTAGGCGGCCGGCCTCGCCTATGGGCGGGACACTGCCTCTCCTCACCCCACCGCAGCGGAGTTCTCGGGTGGCCGGGCTTGTATTGCAGCCTCCGGCCACCTCCACACTCTGCCCCCATGGAGCTCCGGTCCTCGGTGCAGTCCTGGCGAGAGCCAAGTCACCACCCGGGCCGCCCCGCCCCGCCCCCGCGCGGCCGCGCTGCCCTTGAGCCTATGTTAACCTGGCTGGTGCGGGGCCCACCATTGCCAGTGCCGAGAGAGTGAGCTACGTGCTCGGGCTGCGGTCGCGGCTGTTCAGGGAACATGGGGCCCCTTCCTCCCCCTTCCTGCCCCAGGCCTGCTGCCAACTTCTCCAGGCCGCCCCTCTCCCACCGCGGTCGTGGAGGCTTCAAACACCACTAGCTGCGAGGACCCCGCCCAGGGCGCCCCACCCATCCACTGTCTGGGCCTCTAAAGGAAATGCTCGGCTGCGCCCCGCCGGGGCCTTCCAACCAGGCCACCTTGCTCTAGAGTCTAGACACACACGTTCATAGTCTTTCTCTCCAAACACACTAGGCCATCATCAGAGAAACCATAGCTTCCTACTGCCTTTGAACCAATCTTAACGCACTTTTCAGGACTCGGGTCGCAGCTGGCCTCCGACCTGTGAGAACAGGGTCAGCAGCCTCAGCTTTTCATTGTGGGTGGTGCCTTGAAACAAGTCAGCCACCATCAAGTCGGGGAGGCAGCCAGATGTCCACCCTAGTGGACTAAAGCAGGGGCAATCATCGCACTGGCAAAATTAAGAACCATGGTTCTGACTTCAGGTCCTCCGCCAGATTAATTGGGAGCCTAGAATTGAAAAGACTTTGACTTCTGTTAATCATGGGAAAGTGAGCAACTTGGAATTTTCAGTTGTGAAATTTATGTGAACGTCTGAGCACCCCTGAGTGCTAACACACACCCTCAATTTCCTCACTGTCGGGCCGCTGTCTGGTGGAGAAGCTGGATCAAGGCTCCGTAGGAGGGTCTCGACTTGGCAGAAAGGAGTCATCTTTGTTCCAGGCAGATTGTGTTGATGACATTTAAGAGACTGTGTCCTGACCAAGTGATGACTCAGAATGTTCCTCTGTTCCCACCACATGCCACAGACAGTCATTTCATTGGGAAAGAGCTGGCCCCTACACTGCCTTTCTGGCCATGTGTTCCTTCCTGACCCTCAGTCGCTGGGGGGATTCAGCAGTCACTTGTGCTGTCCTCGTGGGCTCTGCCTGCACCGGGGAACCTTCCTAGGACATGCACTATTCTAGGCATCGCATTCCTCCGACACAGGCTTCTGTGGTAGCCTGAGTCAATGGACCCTTACCCTGATGTGCCCCATCCAAATCTCCTTTAGATGGTGGCCTCCCAAAGGGTTTCCCCTGAGCCCACGGGCATTTTAGGTACAACAGTCAGCACCTCAAATGATTTCTGAGCAGTTGGCTCACCAAGAACTTAATGACTGGGGCCTCAAGCCTGGTCTTCCTTGTCCCAAGCCCAGATGGAAATGTCCTAGGGGTCCAGTTCTGTTCTCCGGTGAACACTCACTGTATGGTTCCATGTTTCCTTGCTGGTAGGATTTTGACAACAATGGCATAGGTAGGTGAGAGTAGGGATAGTTCCTTTTAGCTGGAAATGGGGAGAGGGGGAGGCAGATCAGGTGGACCGAGTGAGGGCAAGTGAGCCATGAAGAGACTAAAGATGGGTGAGGTTTTGGGGTGGAGGTGGGAGTTGTCTCAACTTTAACTGCCATTTGGAGCCTCTGAAACAACCTCAACTGTAAGACAAAAATCTCAACTATAAGACAAAAATGCACAGGAGAGGAAGCAGCAGCAGCCAGTAATGCTAAAAAGTCCCCCACAGACCCAATAAAATGGAAGCCTGAAATAGGAAGGAAATGGGTGGCGCTGGGCACCAGTGGAAATGGACGGCGAAGGGACTTGAAATAAGAATAATTGCACAAGAGTCTGTTCCCGGAGATGCTCAGATCCCCTGCTAGCCCTGTGCAGCCTTGCAGCTGCTCCTTCCTCTTCCTGAGGGGGGACCGCATCCATCTGAAGGAGATAAAGACTTCTCAAGCAGAGTGGCAGAGGCAGTGGCGCAACGCTGGGGTCAGGGTCAAGTGCGCATGCGTCTTCTGACATCTATAAGCCCCTTTCAGAGATTTCATGGCACAGGGAACCAGGAGCCTAGGAGAGGCTTTTGGGCTGAGCAAGCCAGGCCAAAGGGAATCATTAGCACGTTTTCACATCCATAGCTGCTCAAGTGTCCAATTAGCATACTACAGAGAAGGCCACACTGGAAGGTGCCACTTGGCACTGAACTTCTGATACATCTCAATCTTTCCCAGGCAAACAGGAATGAGCAGCTGAGCCGTGTCAAGAAAGCCTGCATCAGGAAATGCAAAGCCTCAATAGGTTTTTGGTTTGCTTTGTTGTTTGCTTTTAAAGTAAGCAGTAGGAAACAAGCCATGTAGAGAGAGGTAAACACCAACAAAACTACCAATACTATCAACAGGGGAATGTAAAAGGATACCACAATCTGCAAAAGGGAAATATGTGTGAAGAAATGGTAGGGAGTGAAAGAAAGAGTTCTTGGAGCTTTAAAAGAAAGTAGCCAGCATATAAATGACCAAGTCTTCAGGGGAAAGACTGGGAGAGAGCATTAACCAGAAAGAATTCACAACAGCATAAAATGGAAAGAAGAGAAGGGAAAAAATGTTAATTAGAGAATCAACCAGAAAATGCTTTAACCGTTTTTTTAGGAACCCTGACATGGTAGTTAGAGAAAATCATTGATGAATTAGTCCAAAGAAGGTCTGGACAATTGGAGACCATATGTTGGGAAGGCCATGGAGAGCAAGGGCATGAGAGAAGGTCTTCACACTGTATTTTATCACCCTTGAATTTCTGAAGATCAGGGAAAGTGGTCTGATGTTGGCTATAGTTCTTATACAAACTCAAGTCAGAACAATGGGCTGCTCCCAGCTGAGGTACCTGCTAGCATCAAAGAAACAGATTTGGAATGCTGAAGGAAAACTACCATAGTCTTCACCCAGCCACACGGTGAACCAAGCATAGGCATTCATCAGCAGGGATGCATTCTGGGAAAGTGTCTCCTTAGGCAATTATGTTGCTGTGAGCATTGCAGAGTGTGTCCATGCAAGCCTGAATGTTGTGTGTTAGTAAATACCAAGCTGTGCGGTATGTTTTTATAGTGAACAGAGAAAATATGAATCAATAGGGTTTTTATCCATAATTTGGATAACTGTACCCCAAAAGCTGTATTAAAGCCTTGGTTCAGTCTGTAGTACTATTGGGATATGGTGAGGCCAGAGATAGGGCTAATGAAACATGTCCTTGGGGATATAGAGACCCTAGACTTTCTCCTACCATTATCCCTGCTTTGCTGTCACCGTTGTTCTGGGACTGACATCTCTAAAACTGTGAGCCAAAATAACTATTTCCCGGGCTGGGCAGTAGTGGTGCACGCCTTTGATCCCAGCACTCAGCAGACAGAGGCAGGCAGACCTCTGTGAGTTCAAGGCCAGCCTGGTACAGTTCGGGGACAGCCAGGGCTACATGGAGAAACCCTGTCTCGAAAACAAGCAAACAAAGAAACAAAATTCACCCCAGATATTGCGTCATAGCAACAAAAGGAACACACTATTGTATAGCAATCTTTAAGTAGGAATATACACTGAACAATAAAAGTAACAGGTATCCGGCGTGTCTGGGCCATGCTTTTGGATGACTGTTAGCAGAGTAGGCTTGTACCAACACCCCAGGTAAGAAATTCATCGCTCTGTGATCACTGCCACAGTTGGCACGTTGGAAATGATAGGACTCTATTAGGGGTCCTTTTAGGGATCATGGTAGTGGATGTTGTCTGTAACCGATGGAAACTTCGTGACCACAGCCTGCCTGCATTTTTAGTTGCAGACGGTTTCAAAAAATTTCCTTCCCCCTTTTCACATGATAGGAGCTACCTGAGGTCCTGAGTCACCAAAATGAAGAGGACAAGAAAGGGGCATATGATCCAGGAAGCAGGTCACTAGACACGGGACAGAGGGGAGAGGAAGCTTCAGTCAGGAGCTGTCCTGATGCTTGCACACGAGCTTGGAGTGACAGCATCCTCCTCCATCAGTTAGAAGGGGCTGGCTGGGCTGCAGATCTTTGTTTCTGGCAAGCTGCACATCCATCATGAGGTGCCTGCTGTCAGCAGGTGGATGGAACAGCCTCTGTCTGCAGTGTGCTGGTTGCCATGGCAGAGGGAAAGGAAGAATGTTAACCTTGCGTTGTTCCTTACCTCCTCACCCTGTGCAAGACACAGCTCCTCTCTGGGTGGCCTGGGCCAATCTGAAGTGCCATTTTCATCTGGAATGGGAGGAATTCACCGAGACACACTGTGTGCCATCCACCCGAAAGCTCAGAACCTCTGAAGGATGACATGATTTCTTCACATAGCCCAGGGGGTTCCTCGTGGTCCAGAGGCTTATAACTTAGAAGTCAGTTGTCAGTGTTCATCCTCCGCTGTGTTTTCGGTGGTAT